TACAGTGAGTGAAAATATCGACAAATGTTAGTTTTTAAAATACAGGCTAGCCAAGAGCGGAGGGACGCAGAAAGTTGTATGTGGTTAGTCAACCTTTGACCACAGCAAGCGCGGAGCCTGAACGAGGTTCTTTTGGGCGCATAGGGTCGGCTGTCGTAACCTGATGGCAGTCGCTTCTGCTGTTGCTAACAGGCGCTGGCCCAATAGCTTAGGGTAGCTCGAGCGGACCTTATAAATCACATGAAATGCGTCAGCGGGGTCTACGCGATGTCCTGCATCCACTGCATGCGCAAGGATGGCGCTGTCTATTTTCCTAGTTTCACATTTTGCCAGCCATGCGGGAAGGTGCTCTTGTATTCTTTTGGAAAGGCGCCGACTGGTGCACTTATCAAGGTGGCCTAAGCCATTGGGAGATCTTAGCCACTACGAACATCAAACCCAGTCCCGGACAGGGATGGAAGAAGTGGGGCGCCAGTTCTGTACTCTGTACAGAACTATTACAGAAGAGGTTGGTAGGAATTGGCTGTCGGATGAGGGCACGTCTGACGCCGAGAGAACCACCTTCGCGACTGTGAAACAGCGGCGCAGTCGTCTAACGCCTTTGTCGAGCCAGCCTCGAAGATAGTTCATCAGCTTGGGCAGCCGTCATTGGCCGAGAACTAGGCTGCAACTGGTTGGCACGTAGGAACAGTAACGAGAGACTCGGCGTTGCAACATGCGTCCGCAGTTGGACCACTACACACTTCACTTTCTTTCCAAAGGTCATGTCACATGCAACACCGCATGTCCGGTTGGTCCTACGGGGGGAGATGTAGATCAGGCTGTATGTCCCTAAAACTCCATAAGTGAACACGCAGACACGAGACAACGGCGCCTACAAAGTGCTCATACTCACATACTATCTCTAAAACAGAAGGGCGTCGAACCTAGAAATGGGTTTTATTCGGAAGAAGATTCGGTCGCTGGAACAAGAAGTTTATTGGCCTGGCGTTTCAGGTTCTCACTCGAACTCATCACCAGAGACAGTCGCAAATGATGGGTCGCAGGACCGAGCCCCAGGTATTCCCCACTTCGGGCTTGGGTATGACTAGCTGACGACTGCTAATAAGCCAGAAATGGCCATTCCAATCTCCCTTGTCTTTGTCGCTAACTCTATCCTACCTATATCACGCACCGCTGTGTGACTGCTAGTGGGGCCCGGGAGAGTGCCCCAAGGCACAACGGAACAAGTGAGTTTCGTAGCGCGATCAGCGAGCGCCTCCTCTACCATTGCATATTTGCGATCGCAGCCGACAGGACAACGAGCCTGTGGCTCAGTGGTTAGAGGTGTTGAATTCCTAGTCAACAGGTCGCGGGATCGATCCCCATGCGTTCCATACTTCGGGATTGGATATGACTGGCTGACGATGGCTAATAAGCCAGAAGTGGTCATTCCAGTCTCCCTCATCTTTCTTCGATAACGCTATTCTACCAATAAACTTGTTGTTCCAGCGGTTGCATCTCTTTCTCCAGAACTGCTTCCTGGAACCCGTCTGTTCGCTTCTGTCAGGAAATGGGTTTAATGCATGTATTTTCTCAGCATCTACTCCGTTACACAAGCGGCCAGACAGATGAGTGAAGAGGTACTCGGCCCGAAGCTGTCATCCCGACATGTGTGAAACACCCTGGAAAAATACTGCACGATAAGCAACATGGCGACCTTGTCGAAGTAATCATTCTCCAGTCAAAATTATATTTCGAAGCTTCGGCTAGTACTTCAGGAATTTGTATTTGGGATATGCACTTATTCTTCAACACTAGCGTCTAGCTTTGAGCCATCAAACCATTCTCACTTCTACTCCACACTTAGGCACGCCGCACTAAACGCTCGACCAAATGCGTTTGCACTTCCGTCGATCGGTCACGCTTAGGATAAAATGCTTAGCAAGGGTGAGTGCATGCGTTTGAGCAAACGTCAACATTGGAAACTTATGCGCAAGCTGTAGAAAGCAAATCCGCCCTGTTTGACAGCCAGTGGTCGCTATCATGATGTCCCCAATGGCGCAATTTGGAGAGTATGCAAAGCATAGAGAGGCTGCCGTTCTGTGAACCGGTAATACTTCTGAGTCGACCAAAACTTAAACAAATGGAACGAATGCCACTGCATAACTGAGGTTTGCAGAAGGAAGAATGTGTGGGGCTCCTCCTTGAAGTTTGTAAAAATATTCAACGGGCGGTACTCCAGAATTATGGATGTCGAATAACCCCTGAAATATTGCACACTGTTCCAGAGGTATATGGGGAAGCATCGCGCCTGCAGCAATTTCAAGCGGTCTCATGAAAGCCGAACCAGGAACTGATATTCTTGATGAGGTCCCAGAACACAGAAGATCAACTCCCGCCATACGTGCGAAGCCTGCATGAAAAGGCCTTCGAGGACGTTGTGGAACTTACTCGAACCGAAGATATAAATCCTGTGGGGGCACAGTCCAGCCCTTCGGGGAGACGTCAACTCGGCTTTCGAGAGACGCCCCGAGTTCTGACGATATTCGTGCTAATAGTAGTACACACTGCCCCCCTACAATGGGCACGTGGGAACTGCATCGCGCTAACACGCGGGCCGGGCTAGGGCACCTTCCGTGCTATCTTGGCTTCGCGTCCATTGTAGATGCTACACAGGGTGGCGTGGCGGCACGCCCATGCGCAGGCTCAGGCCACGCCAGCCACCGGCATCAGACGGCCGGCCGACTCTGGACACCGTGTCCTCGCGCCACCCAACGCATATTCCCCACTGCAAACAATCTGATGCCAGATGCCGTGGCTTGGAAGGCTTCCAGCTGACGGGATAACCCGGTCCTCCCAGCATTAAAACAACAATTCTGTATGGAACCTGCGTAGAGGCTCTGCGCAAAAAAATTCTAGTTCCGTTTTCCGACCAGACAGGACCTCCTTCCCACTACTCATAAATAAGCCTTATCGTGCCCCTTAATCGTTTACTTCCTTCTCACACTCCTATTCTGTTTTTCCTATGACACTGGAAATGCAAGTTTGGGAAGACACTTCTTTTAGAAAAATAGGACTTATTTTGAGAAAGCATTAGAAGTCTAAATGTAAAAACAGATGTTACAAAGGGCGGAAAGCAGAAACTACTAATACGTACAGTGTATGGATTGAAAGACCGGCCGGCCCAGATGATGGATTGTCTGAAGTTCCAACCGCGTCGTCTAAAATCAAATAAGAGTTAGAGTGCGTTACAGGAATATGATATGCAGTGGTCAACGTTATGGAGAGGTCACTAACCGCCCACACAACGTCATAGGCCTTCCGAAATGCCCACTCAAGTTGCTGTCGATTACACTTCTGAGCGGAGTTCCATATTGTGAAAAGATCTATGCGGTTACATGACATATTAACAAATTGATGCGTGACATACCGACAACTAATGCTTAGGCTGTCGACCCAAAGAAGGCCCACCTCCCCAGAGGCCGGCCGTAAAAAGTCAGCTCCGTCAAACAGCGAACTAAAGATCCTGTCGGCGAAGGCAGTAATTGTCTCCCCACCAATGGGGATGCTACGTGCAAAACCCCGCGGCAAACTTGTAATGTGCGGACGAACCTGCCATCTGCTGCCGGAAGGCTGGGTCGGAGGGAACGCTAGTGAACACGTCCAGCTCCTACAGGGTAGCCATGCGTTGAAACACAAGAATGGGCGTGGAGCTGCAGGCACGCGAATGCGCATTTCGGTTTTCATGAAGGGCCTCCACCTGTATCTTCATTTTATGCATTGTTTTAGCGTTCTGCACTAGGGTCTGCATGCGGATCTTCATGGAAGACCTTCTCAGGCGGGAAGACGAATGACAGCGCGGCCGTTCATGTGGTCCGGTTGCTGGTGCCCAGAACGGACATTTCAGACGAATACCTGCGTCCGATGGGGACGTGCCCAACGGCAACGTGCGGCTGGAGTTTGTTTCCCTGATAACAGTTCTGCTCGGAATCTGAGCAGAATCTAAGCCGAGGTTTAGAATAATGTACGCAGAATGTGCGCCTAGTTTGTCACTCTCCTCAGAGTCGGCGCAGATGCTCGACACAGAATCTGCGCAGAAAATTTTAATCTCGCGTCGTAACCGAGCAGAACTTCCCTTTTTTTCTCAATAGTCCCGCTCCTAAGCCGTTTCCCCTATTTTCATGCCAATAATGCTAATCTACTATCCCCTAAGCAGTGGGAATGAAGACGAGTAATGTGGTTGTTGGTTATTAATTTTTTTATAAAAAATAATGTGTACAAAATAAGTATCTAGTAAAAAGTGTTATAAATCTGGTACAAAGTAGATATTACGTAAAAAAGTATTAACGTCTTAGTTGATTTTGCCAAAACAGGCCGTTCTAAGACTGTGAAGAAGAGCCAGACGATCCCAGACGGGGAGTATGCTCGTCATCGTCGGCAGTGTCTAAAAAAGTGCACTCAAGTTAATTTGGCTAATGTAAATATTAGTTGCATGAGGTCTGATTATGAAGGGGTAACTAACCGTCCAGTGGACGTGACGTCGATCATTTATTTGTCCTCTTCTGTAGCCGATCATATGCCCTCCTGAATGTGAGTCGAAAGGTTTCCTCTAATTCATGGCGATCTGAACTGTGATCGGCATTCCACCTATTGAAGACATCTGTTTAGTCGTTTGTTAATTGCGGAAAATTATGCCTTACTACCTAGGACGACTGCGTATGCGGGGGTGCCGAAGAAGGCGCTCTTGCCATGTTGTCGTCCGTAAGACGTTAAGTGGCTTGTTATCTCGTCCTCAAATGGGGCGCTGAAAAGTCGGTCAACGAATGCGCCCAAGTTCCGTCCTCCAAAACCTGATAAGTGACTAGCCTATCCGAGGCTCAGGAATTTCTCAGCCTCCGATTGCTGAAAGCGAACGGATGTTAGTTGTGCCGTAACCCTGCCGAAGACAGGTCATCAGCTTCTCATATGAGTTCTTTACCGATCGCTTCAGTCGTTTCTTACCCTTCTCTTGTTCGTCGTCAGACATAGAAATCTACAACCCAACAATACAATAAGGGGTTACGGGGGGTTAAAACTATGCAATAATTCACTGCCTCCCTTCACCATCCACGAAACAATAGCTATGGGACTGTTGGGTTGTAGGTTTCATGGATGGTGACCGATGAACGGTGAGAGGTACAGTGAGATCACAAGAACTACGTGAGAATATGAGGAAAGGTTACCGTCCGACTGCGTCATCCAAAGCCCGACGAACTGCACGAAGACTCAGTGCTTCCAGCAATCCATGTCCCAACCTCCTCTGATTTCAATCAAGATGAAGTAGTCAGTAATGGGAAAGCACACGTATTTGCGAACGTCTGCTGGCAATCGGCACGTGCTGACATCTGTCCCCATCCTAACTTTAAAAACTTTAATATTCGATGAGTTCGCAGGATAATCAAAATAATCTTCAACATTATCGTACTCAACATAAACTAGTCCAACCTCTCCATCTGGATATCGTACTATGTTTTTCACGCACACTAGCTTCCCATCGACTGCTAGTGACCCCTCTGATGGAGTCGTACCAATGAGAAGTCCTTCTTTCTGAATCGACCTAAATTGCGTAAATGCCCCGCCCGTTGGCGGAACTGGACCGTCACAGTGCTCATCGTTAAAAGTCCAGTCTACTGGTACTGCGCGCCGCTCATCCTGCAACTCCCCTAACTTACCCACTACCTCCTCGAGCGGCTGCAATGGCTTTCTAAGCATACGTTTCACCTTGTCCAAATGACCCTCGAAAGGGATTGACGAGAAGCTATCAAGCGGACCATGTCGTACAACATCGTCTGGTAGGTGCACAATGCTGTGAACATCGTACACCATTTCTGCTTTACCATAAAGGGCTGTAAATTTCTCAACGAACCTCTTCAGCAAGATCTTACTATAAGGCACCCACTGTCTGCAAGACTGCGGACGAAGGAGACAACGTATTGCTGTGAACAAGAGCAGAAAGTGTTTCCAGTACTTCCGAGGAAGAATGCCTCTAAGGACTACTACTCCAGTATAAAGCAGAAACTGACGAAGCTCCGATCCCTTCCATTTGTTCAAATCCCTGAGAGATCTATCGCATTGTGGAAATTGTCGCGGCAAGTGCGGACTCAGAGCTCTTAACCTAGCATTTACTGTGCTAACTGCTGCAGTTGACAACCTAAAGGCCTTATCTCGTGGACCTTTCAGCCATAAGTTAAGAAGCCTTTTCATGACACCTAGGTAGACTAAATGATGGGGATCTAGAGGAAAAGAGCTAATCATTCCTACATTGCACACAAGCAGTGGCGAAACGCCAATGCGGTGACAGTCATAGGGGCTGGATAAAAAGTCCTCATCCACCCTAGCACGTTTAGATACGCTGTCGTACACTACCTCGTCGACGTATTCGCCCCTTACATAGCATCTCTCGCAGCCATAGTACGCATTGACGTTCTTAATTTGCTTGATGAGAGCCCTAGCTGGCGCGTCACAAATTATTGCGGCCAATTTGAAGTGCAGTGTTCGGTCGATAACATCGACACGCAGACCCCACTTGGCCAGAGATAACAACTCTTCAGCCAGCGGTCCGCAAAACGACTGCACATCCGAGGGTTTACCGCGACCGCTATAAATTCCTACAACAAATATTTCACTGATAAATGGTTCCACTATTCTACCTAAGATAGGCCAAGATTCATGTCCGAGTCTCTTATGTGTAGGTAGTCCGTCAATAGCTAAATGTGCAACTACCTCATTGCCTGTTACATGCATGGAAGAGACACGTAACTGGTCAGTTAACTGCTTTACAAGTCCTAAGTGGACATACTCACCGCTGCCCATTCTCGTCACCACTGGTCCGCCCAGCAACGTTGGCGCGTCCAAGGGCAGATCCGGGAACAGCGGCCTCATAATCCTGAGAAGACTAGTCAGAGGAATTAGGGGTGTGTGAGAACTTAATGCCCACGATCGCAGAGCCTCTCGCGGGGTGGACTCGGAGCCTCTAGAGGCCTGTAGAGGACCGTCAGCTAACTGGGACCCCAGAGATTCATCGGGCTCCCCGTTCGATGCCATTTCTAACAAACTGTCATCTTCGTCAGAAGAGCAAGTTTCCGTGTAGCTGGAAGAACTGGAGAATAACGTACTACCCCAGGACGATGACGCTGAGTCGGACGGATACATTTCCTCCATATTCTCTGCAACTGCCTGAAAATGTTCATGGACATGTTTATCTGATGTTCTTTTCGGTATTTTCTTCCACATTCTAGCAAAAAAAGAATATAAAAGGGTTATGAAAAAGGTTGATCAGAGGAAAACGTCAGAGCAGTGACAGCGTGTGCACAGTAGCGTGGGCGAGCAGGAAGTGGCGTGACAAAGCGCTCGCGCGAAGGCAAGCGCGTCGTCCGATCGATTTGCCAATAATCGTGCGCGCAGTCATTTGCGCCATCAGCGACGCGATGGGACGGGGACCCTGGCAACCAATCAACTTGCAGCAACGATTAAATGACGAGACTAACTTGGAATCAGAAGACGAGGTGGCGAGCGTATGTAGCTTTCGATAAATTCTCGTCGGGCCAGTACAGTCATATGGGAACGGGGTGGAAGTAAGACATGTCAGCGATAAGAGAAATCGATAAAAGATCTCCTTAAAACACAGGCCGGGTGTGGGAATGTGGGGAGGGGGGGGGCGTATTAGCAGTCAGTGTCATGGGCGGGGGGAGAGCGGAAGGGCGCGGAGATTTGCAGTGTTAGTCGACCTTCGGTCACTGTAGGCGCAGAACCTGAACGTGGTTCTTCTGTGTGCATAAGATTGGCTTTCGGAACCTAATGCCGACTGCTTCAGCTGTCGCAAACAGGTGCTGGTCTAGTACCTTAGGGTAGCACGATGTGACCTTATAAATTACACGAAAAGCTTCGTTGGGGTTCACACGACGTCCGGAATCGACAACATGCGCGAGAATGGCGCTGTTTATGCTCCTTGTTTCGCTTTTCCCCAGCCATGCTTGGAGGTGTTTCCGTATTCTCTTGGATAAGCGCCGACTCGTACGACCAATATAACCTGCTCCACCGGAGCAAGTGAAGTAATAGATGCACATTGAGGTGGTCGGCGGTGACAACTTATCCCTACCTCCGTAACTTGGAATCGGCACTAGCGAGGTCCTCCCCCAACCAGTCGGAATCCGGGGCGCCCCTTTCTCGTTCTTGTGAAAAGGCGGTCCATCGCGTGCGGACCAGGCGCCTGTGTTACGCGTAGATGGGCCGTATAAATTTGTCAACCAATGAGTCTTATAGGGCGTCCGATCTTTTTGCATTTGTTTTGCCACCGGGACCAAGCGGGTGAGGAGAGAGATAGTGCAGTGGATTCTGCGCAAGTGTACCGCTACAGCCTATTTCACGCTGGAGTCACTGTCCCTGTGTTCTGTAGGACACACAGCAGACGTCGCCATCCGTGACGGTCGGATTGTCAGTAGTGCACATGAACCCTCAGATACTCCGTTTCTCTTTTTTCTACGATGGAACAACTTTCTTTAAAAAGCCTTCTCCAGGTGAAGTACGATAGCATTCAGACGTGCAGATCTCATCCGAACAAAGTTCTAAGTTGCATGTTTTCACATCTAAGGGCATTAGACAGACACGAAATTAATACAGTACCGGCAAAGTAGGACTGCGCTGGGACGAGGGACCCAAAGCAGCTGGAAAGTCTGGCGCTGTAAGGAAGCAAATCCTGAGCTAACTTCAGTAGTTGCGACGCCAACTCCGGGAGAAGAGAAGCAGGCGCTTGAAAGTCGAATGGATGAGGTCTCCAACGAAGCCACGCGTGCTCATCGATTAGTCGGCCGTCTGAAAGAGAGGACGAACCTGGAGCGAATACTAAAATATACAAGTGCTTACAACCCCCCCCCCCCCCTCAAGACGACTGTATCTCCGAAGGAGGGGGTGCCGCCATTAGTCACCTTTAGCCAATAAAACGTAGGATTGTTGTTCGGCTTCTGGTATGTTAAGCTTTAGCCGATTAATAACGGGACTCATCAGAGTGACTGGCAGCACGTTTTTAAGTAGCTGCCCACAGTATGCGTGAGTCCACAATTGCTGCCATGCTTACGTGTGGCCCGAAAAGTGGTCTTTCGTGCCGCAACATCCCCTTCGCTACTTCCATCACCAGTTGTCTGACAGGCTCGGAGAGTTGACTGGTGCATTGGAAAGGGGAGGTCGCTAACTGGCGGTACGACACAGTCCTACTCAGGAATGACAGTCAGACTGTTATAGCTCCTCACTGTGGCCTCCTTGGTGCTCTCTACCGTGTAAAAACCGAGCTGCCCCCCTGCAGCCCGGTGCTTGCAACGGGGACCGATTGTACGTGGCACCCATAGATGTGTTAGCTATCGCGTTCACGTCCACCTCCGGTAGTCAGTAGGCACCGTCGTTTGTGACGACTGAACTGTCGTCAATGCCAATAGAAGCGCACTGACGAGTTTCAAGAAGTAGTCTTGAAGAAGGAGACGCGATCGCTGAGACAAGAGCTTTATCAGCCTGACGTTTCAGATTCCTGCTCGAACCCATCATCAGACACAAAAAGCAGATACGGGTGGTTCATGCACAAGGGGCTGCAGTATTTATAGGACGCAGTCGCCATGCTACCGCATACCCATGTACATTCACGGCTCCTCCCTTCATCCGGGATCGTCGCACTTTGTGTGCTGGTAATTTGATGGTCAACATTCGCGTCGTTAATTGCTGCAATTTCACCACGTTAAGCATGGTATTAAACTGCATCCGGCATACGGCATCGGCCGTTCTTTGTCTGGAGTCTGAAGATTGTTGGCCGTAGACTGCATGATCTCTCCCTTCTTCGCTGCTATCATCGGTATTGATTGTTGATCACGGATATGTGACTGCCCGCTACGGTCTTAGTCAGACTTTCAAGGCAACGCAACAACAAGGCACCTCGTTAGGCGTCGCATCCCAAATGTGTGTGTTTGTTTAGGCTGCCGGTGCAGCCCTGCCGGGAATTTTTGCAAGACAGCAAAATAAATGGCACCGAATGTCCCTATGGGCAACCCCTCATAAGCGCCCTGCGCCTGCCAACAGATGGTGGAATCATTTCTTTACCATGACGGCCGCATTCTGCTGTCATTACAAGGCACACCCTGGGAGGGCTGAAACGAGATACCGCCTATGGAGGCGAATACGCGTATTCTGGGTTTTTAATGCAGAGAAGAAAAACAAAACGACCACAAAAACGGCTTTCGGGCTGTTACAGAAGACTATGGAAGTACAACCACAACTGACTAAACGAAGCAAATTTTGAAGCAATATTTCCCCCGGAATGAATTTAAAGCAAGCAAGGACAGCAGAATTTAATGGTGCCAGGAAATTTCGCGACGGCTTCTCAACTGCAGACTGTCGTTGCATAACACATATACCAAGTGAGAAAGGTACAGAGGTTTGAAATTCCACAGAGAAAATCAATGTAGAACAGCAAGGTCAACGTATACTGCGCGTAGACTAATCAATAATATGATAACTTCAAAATGCAACTTAGGAATGAAAATGGGGAAGTAAACATGCCTGGCGCAAGCTGAGGTTGACCACGTGATCTAACTGTTTCCATAGGTCGGGTTTCTCCCGCCGTATATAGGCTGCCTCCAGGTAGCGCAATAACCGTGTTGTTCGTACTAGAACTAATGCTCGAAAAGACGTTTTGGGGTCAACCGAACGGTTACTATCAAGGAGATGTTTTGTAATAGAAGACCGTGGAATCTTCTTCTCCTGCTTTAGAAGCCATTTCGGCAGGTGCTCAACTGCCCTGGCTGCCAGTTGCCTTTGCGTTCGCCCAAAGTACTTGCATCCACAAGTGCATGTAAATTCGTAAACACAATTTGACGTGGCGTGCAATGGCAGGGCATCCTTCGCCCGTGGAACTTTGATAGCCTTAGTAGGACTGCAGAAGATGAGTTCAGCTGAGTTGTAAGTTCTTTCAATAGCGCATCTCAATCGCCGATTGATGGTATTAGAGATGATGTCGCCCTTAAAGGGTAAGGATATTATAACGGGCTTTTTCGGAACAGATTGCTCCGTCAATTTTGGCCGTAAAGTGTTGCTGTACTTTTCGATGAATCTTGTTGTATATCCCCGTTTAAGCAGGACTGTTTTGAGGCAAGAAATTTAATTATCCAGCGTTTCAACAGAGCAGTTATCGTGTCTCAGTCCTCCCAACGATTGCACAGTTTCAGGGTCTGAACATGTC